AATATCGGTTATTAATACTACAAACCTTTATTTTTTCTTTTTTTAATCACCATAATCCTATGCTACAATATGATAGAGAAGAAGAACACATGTATTTGTGAAATTCTATTAGAATGATTAGCAAATGGCCGATATTTAATCGTCCACTTATAACGTAGGATCGTATCAATCGCATTGTTGAGAATTCTTATGACGTCAAATCGTGTGTTCCTCCTTTGACCTGCTTCCTTGACCTGGCAGAAGAACAGAGAGAGAGAGAGAGAGGGGGGGGGCTCGAACAAGAAGAAGAAAGTTTCCTTCTCTTTCAAGGAACTCGGCTCAATTTGGAGGCAATGGAGGAAGGAGAAGGCTTCCTTCTAAGAATCCCAACTAATGTCATTTCAAGAGGGTACGTGAGAGCCGCTTTCAAACATGCCTACCCCGTGATCGATCTATTGATCACTGTCACGTATACATCGATCTTCACTTAATCTTTTTTTGTTGGTTTGGTCCCTTTTTAAAATGATCAGATCACTTTGGCAAGAAAACATATTATACGTTCTCGGTTATGGTCGATCGTTTATAGATGAACTCGTCGTTAAAACAATTGTGCTTCGTTGAAATGATCAAAATTCCAAAACAATCAATATACGCAGGCTTCGTTCGCGTATCTATCCGTATGAACCCGACTTGATTAGCTTCTTGGAAAACGCGTAGCGTAGTTTAGCAAGATCAACCGGAACGGAAGATGAATGGCGGATCACGCGCCCGATGACCGAGTTGTACACGCGCGGATAGGCCCAACTGAAGCCGCCTGCCACGTGCCTGCCCCCCGCCAAACCCTATCCACGACATATCATTCTCTCTCACGACCTATTATTAGTCCTTATTAGTTAGTCAGTCATTATTTTTTCTTTTCAGGTAAGAATCGATCAATTTCAAGGAGCCAATGTTATTTCTGCAATCCTCGATAATGTACTTTTAACATATTATAATAATCCTTTTCAATTTCACATGCCTTTTCTTAAGATACTTTTGTCTATCAAACTAGCGTTATTATTACATTTGTTCCTTCTTTTGAGGTAAAATCAATACATTGAAAAGACTCGTTGAGGGAGAAAACGCTTTTCGAGCAGGAATATTTATAAAATCGGCCAACGTCTCTCTCTCTCTCTCTCTCTCTCTCTTTCTTGGCGGGCGGTAGGTCTTTGAATGTTTAGTCGCGAGCTTGCGATGCGACGACGACGACGACGACGACCACCTCCGTGGTAATAAAACTGTCTACGAGTCGTTGTGGATTTTCGAGGAGACGGTCTAATGCCAACGGATACATAGGTTTCCCATAAGAGAATCATATTTTCTTTGGGTGGCGCCTCAATGTTGACGGGACAGCTGTTCGACGGAATCGCCCCCGAGAAACGGCGAACGTTTCATCTTTTTCTCTTTATCCTCCCTCTTTCCGACTATCTTTACTAAAAGATTTTCTTCTTCTTCTTCTTCTTCTTCTTCTTCTTCTTGCTCCTTTCTAAACCTCGCGCGCGCCGTATCCATTTAATAATAATAACAATATGTTTGAACAATTTAGAAATATTTTTAGATGAGATTCGCCAATGATTCGCCAATGATTCGCAAATGATTCGCAAATGATTCGCAAATCAGACACACGGTTGGACTACCGTTTCTCTCGCGTGATGCCTGATTCACTTAGCGTCCTATATTTAGAGTCCTACAGCCCAACGACGTTTCTTTTAAACCGTAAACAATGTCACATCAATGTCACACAGCTCTACTAGCCTAAACACTACTATTACAATCAAATTTCTTTTCTCTCATTTTGGTCATTTTTGTCATGATCCTTAAATCTTTAAATTGTCATCAAAATGGAGACATTGAAAAATAAAGAAGACTTTTTGAAATTTCTAAACGAATAGTTCTTATGAACTTTTTGAAATACCATGAGACGGAGAGTGAGAATATAATAGAGGGGGCTAGAGGGTCGGGGGTTGGTTTCAAAGTAAAACGACAAAAGGAAAAGTTCGGGGTTTGGGGAAAGGAAGAAAAGTCAAGCAAAAGAAGAAGAAGCAGGAGATGACACTATGACTGCCTTCCCTCTTCGAATTGCGTCATTTCTGTCTTTTTATCCACCAAGAGATGAGAGTTACGCGCTGCCTCGCGCGTATCTTTATCTTTCTCTCTCCCTCTCTCTCTCTCTCTCATTTATCGAGCAATGACACCGTTCTGTACTACTACATCTAAGTCATTTCGTAAGAAACATGTTTTTCGCGCAACACTCTCATTACAAACGGTTAACTATCATAAATAAGAATAAAATAGGAGCTTTCTTTTCCTGCTTTGCTTGGCATTAATGAGTAAGTAATACCAGTCTTTATCAATAAAGTAAAAGCCTATTTCAGGTAGGTATAGTGTGCCTAGTACCCTTATATATAGCCATATTACCAATAGCCATACTACAAATGATGATTAAAGTTTGTTCGGGTGCGTAGGCTGACTTACCTAGACCACTATCTTGGCGACACCGATATTGCCGAATATTATTTGGCGATCCTTCAAACATTCAAACAAGGTAATTACCCTCCTCTTGCAGAGAGGTGCACCGTGGTGCATCTGCTGGTCCCTTTCTTTTATTTTTCCAATTGACCTGGAACCTCCCAAAACTTCCTCCTACCTAAGCCTAACTTTTTCCTAACAAAATCTTATACTAATTGCTTTTTAATGCAATCGATTGACCTCACATTTAATTCCGGAACAAATTAAATATGCTATGGCAAAGCAAAGTTCCACCATAGTTGTTGTTTATAGAAACACTTGAAAAAAAGCATATTCGACCACACCTGTCAGATTGAATATGATACATGTTAGGAGAGATTATTAGACCACTGACATTGATATACCGACAATCCAGATCTCTTATTACTACGCTTACTTATCGGAATAAAATAAGCATTATTATTATTATTATTAGTTGGCATTAGAAACTCGAAAGTAATAGCAAATCCTGCTATTGTTCCTGTCCCATTCGCCGCGATCTTCGTATCCTATTTCTTTAAGATCCCTCTTCTAATATTGTCCTCCCATCTACGTCGTCTCGGTCTACCGACCAATATTTTATGCACCGCGCCCAGCACATGACCAACAACCCATTTTAATCGCCGTGATTTTACGACGTTTATCGTAATTCAATTGTATTAATTAAATAGAAGAAGAAGAAGAAGAAGAAGAAGAAGAAAATGAACTTATTTAATAATTAAAATCACGTGTATGTAAATGAAATACGCCCACGATAATACAACCCTGCTGCTGATCGGCTAGAAAAACAAGTTTATAATACGTTGGTGCATCTTGTTAACTTCATTAATACGTGAAATCGATGATAAGCTCATGATACGGTGAAAAGATAGTCTCTCGTTAAAGGATAGTTCGTTCTGACTTGAAAGAGAAGCGACGTCGCATCGATGCCTCTCTCCGATTGGTTGAGACCCGGCCGGGCCCCCATCGTGCCTTCGCGCACCCACTTGCTCATTCGTTTATCTGCCGATAACATGGCGGTCTCCGATCGGCCGACACCTTGTTGACCTATCGCGTTCCACAATGATGACGACTAATCATACAAATATTTTGTTTGTCCACCAACGTTTCACATCCTTTTCTTCCTCTTTCTCTCTCTCTCTCGTAATCGTCATTCTCTATAGTTTCTCACGATATTATTTTATTTGTCGATAAAATCATGAAACTCTGCTTGTTATCAAACATTTTTATTGCTACAGTAATAGAAAAATAATAATAATAAATATAAATATAGAGGAGTTGTAAAGAATGGAAAATTTGTTTTGTCGAGGTCATCCCCATTAATTGGGATATTGGTGAGGTAAATCTTGTGGGCAGTATAACGAGACTTGAGTTTGCGTCATGCGTGAACTTGATGGTAGCTGATGCAATCTCGCTACGACTTAATACAGAGTGTCCTCTTTCTATTATAAAACCGTATAAAGGACATGTGTGAAGAAGAAATGAAGAAACATATTATAAAATGGATATACATAGAGCATAATCGTTCGCGTGAACTCTCTTAAATGCGAATGAACTGTTCAACTGTCGATTATCCTGATGCACGAAATTACGTCAATGAGAAGCAGCAAAGACGTTGGAGATAATATGCACGCATCGTCGCTCTGCTTGATATCCCGTTGTTGAGAATGAAATCAGAGTCCGATACGCAAAAGAACGCGTAGTAAGGCAATGTTATTTATGATACGAATGGAAACGAATATGGTGCAACATAATCCGTTGAAGAATAGCCGCGCATCTGACGGCTGGCTCTATATAATTTCGTTACGTTCTAACATCGTTGTGTTAATCGTACGTACGTACGTACGGGTGGATCGGGTGGGTCGGGTCTACGTGCATACTTGCATGCGACCCTTTTTTTCGAGCATATGCCGCCACCGGTTTTCCCCTTCAATTACAAATTATTTGTCGACCTAAGGAAAAAAAAAGTCACTGGTATAAGCAATTTCTAACAAGAAAAAAGAAGCAAAATGAACTTTTTCATAAAAATCAAATATTACAAATCTTTGACAGACTTTATCGATAATTTGGACATTACATTAGTAGAAAATTTGACCAAAAATGCAACAAACAAATTTATCGATCAAAGTCAATTATTCGATAAAAACTTGTTTGCAAACGATTATTCATATAATATTCATATAATGGAAAAAAAGAAAAAAAAGAAAAAAAAGAAAAAAAAGATGCGTAGAAACGCGCCTCACGCACCTTCTCTCTCTCTCTCTCTCTCTCTCTCTCTCTCTCTCTCCCTCTGTCAGTGTTACTACTTTCTTTCTTTCTCGTTCTTTCGCGTTCCTTCTCTGACAACTGTACCCCGTCCTATCGCAATGGTCTTCTCTCTCGTACTCTCCCCTTCCCACCTTGTCTTTTCCCCACCACCACGTGGTAGAAAGGCTAGTCGAACCACGGCGCAACCTATATAAACTCCTGGTGCTTCGGAAGCATCGTCACTCTTTAACACGAGAGAAACGGTCTATGTAGAAATTTCCAACAAAGAAGCAGAGAAAGAGAAGAGATAACGTAAGCAGCAACGCGATAAAAGAGTTTATAGAATTTTTAAGGGGGAAGGTTTTAATCAACAACACCCCCTAAAGAACCTAAAAAAGATTAATCCATATCCATCCCCTATTTTCTAATTTTCCTAAAGTTTGCTTTTTAACGTAGAGACACACAGACAATATTATTCCTTTAATTATTCGAAATATCTTGTCAATAATCCTTACGTGCACGCACAAGAAGATATTGTGAATGAAAACACGCTAAGGAAGAAGGATCGTAAAGTTCCCGCCAAGGAACAACAAGGAACGAACCAAGAGGAAGGCGCAAGGACCAAACCAAGAGAGGGAGATAGATTTGCCCTCGCGGGACAATCGAAGGGACGATCTTCGCGATCGTCGGATCCACCACCATCCTTAACTTGAAAAAGTTAAATTGTTTTCTTCTGATCGGTACTCTACTGACAAAAAAAATGGAGCACAAAGTTGTCATAGTCATCGTTACTCTCGTCATCACAATCATGTGGTACTCTACGGAAAGTGACAGCGCGGTAGTTAGATCGTCCCAAGTAAGTAAGACTAATTCATTTTCATTATAATAACAATGCAACTTTTCAAATGCGTCTGTGCGTTTCACCAAGTATTCGATTAAACAAAACATTTATAATTATATTATTCTTATTGTAATTATTGTAAATTTGTGTATGAAACATTTCCTAATTTTCCAATCCAAGTTTTCTTCGTATAAGGAGTGCATCGACACGGCACAAATATATATATATATAACGTGTTCGGAGGCGAACATACGCGGCTCTTTTCCAAGATTCGAGGTCGATGGCATTGACCCCGAACTGCGTCGTTAGGTTTTGACGCAATAAACGCCGAAAGATAATCGGACCGTACGGACGCAATTTTGCCAATTCGCTCTTTAATCTAACAAGTATCTCTCTGTGCGGTACATTATTACATATTATCTATACACATGTACATGTACATAGGACGCGTATGCTTTTCTTTCATGTAGAAGCTGTGATTTTATGGTTTTTTGTTGTTGTTGTTGTTTTTAAGCACGTCCCTCCCATTGAAACTGTACAATCGCCGTAATATATAAATTAATGGGCTTGATAAATCATCGATTCTAATCCGTTTAACGCGCATTTATTTTCAATTGACTTAAATTCTTTCTACGTCAATTTTCTTCTTTGCTTAAAACATCGAATATGAATGATGCTATTTATATAAATTCGTATTAAATAAGAAAATGTTTATTTTATTTTTCTATAGGAATTTTCCGAAGCATTGGAGGAAATGCTACGAAGTACGGTAATTAACAAGGTCAGAGATTTACGCTCGACTGATCTTGAAGAACGAAACGGGACACGACATATTTGTCAAGGCAACCCTTGCGGATGGGCGATCTATACCAAGTTCACACGCCGTTTCGAATATTTCATGAGAAATACGTAAGTTACCTTTCCTGTGTTGTTATTCAATAATCCTAGCTAAACTAAAGCTAACTCTTTCGTTTAAGCAAATTTGACAAAACAAATGAAATTTCTTTGTTCTTTGTTCTTTGTCAAGCTATTAATTGAACAAATAATCAATTTGTTTTCTCTTGTAGATGCGAGTGTCCAGATTATTCGTACAAGTGCGTACATACGGAGGACGATTTATCCGTAAGTGCATACGTATATCGATGTCGTCAAAATACGACGTCGAACGATACCGAGGCACCGCCAGAAGACACGAATTAAAAAAACAATATCATACGCACATACATTTAGAAAGTTAAACGATGATTATCCCACCGTCGAGAAAACTCGTCTTTTCATCGAGCGTTTTTGCATTCATTTTACACGAAACATTAGAAACGATTTAATAACGTGGACGAAGAGAGCGTAGGGTCAAAAGAAACTAACAAATCTGTCATTTGTCTTCCATTTGTCATCTTTGACAATCTTTACTCGAAATTTGTACCATTTCATTGGAATGAAACTTTGAACCACGTAACCACGTCGACGCCGCCAACGACGACGCCAACGACGACGCCATGTTGTGTGGCATCGATTTTCATGATTAAAATATAGAGAGATCATCGATCGAATAGACAGTGTATCGTTTCTTTTAAATACATACATAGGTAGATAGGACCTTTAAGGACCTTTTTTAGATCTTCCTACCTTAGTTGCTTTTCACCACGTCCCATTTCTATGTATGTTTATCGTTGAAGTCTATAGAATTCATTAAATTCATGAAAAACTTGATATGTTTCAGAAAAATATATCTCAAAACAATTTTATTTGACATTAAGTCATTGTTTAGTATGAAATAACTAGGTAAATTTGCTTTTATTTCTACAGCAATGCTTGTAATTATGTTCCAATGGTCATTTATCAACTTTTGTCAATTTTTCTATTACCTAGTCGGACTATGTAATTCTGCCTTATTTCATGAGTTAACGAATTTCACGTTTTAATTAACGGTAGCATATGTATGTAGAATTATGTTTTTGTAGTTTAGAAATATATAGTTTTGTAAAAAAAAAAAAAAAAAAACAGCTTCCTCGTAATAATTTACGAACGCTCTCCAAATGTTATTTTCTCTTTTTGTCTTCTTTTTTCTTCTTTTTTCTTATTAACAATAAAACGCCGCGCGAATCCTCCTTTCCAAAGCTAATAAATAACGTTGTACTTAATGGAAATGGAATGTCAACATTTTGTAAAATAATACGAGCCATCAATGTTTTTTCTCTACATCTTAGTTAGAATTCATTGAAATAATTAAGAGATATTAAGGTCTCCTTATGTAAAGAAGTATATTTAGCCTCCTATAAATTAAACATCAAGGTCTCCATCAAGAAGAAAAATAGAAAACTTTAAATAATAACTTAATATGATATAAAAAATCAAGTTAAAATGTGTAGTTGAAAAGAAAATTGGAAGAACCGAAAGAAATTTAAATACATTTGTGTGTATACATTTTGTATACTTCATTATTATGATGCTGCAATATTCAGAGAAAAAGAAAAAAGAAAAGAGAAAAAAGAAAAATAGTGACACATCATTTTAGTTAACGGAGGCTTTAATTAAACGTATTCGTAATGCAGTATTTTAAGTATCATTTGTACTCTTTTTGCGAATCGATGTATATATTGATATCTATCTTATCATTCACATATTATTTCAGTACGTATGTAAAACTCACCGTATATGTTGAAAATTCATTTAGAAAATAAAAACAAATGATTTATGTAATACAATGTTATTTTTTTTTAGCGATTAATGCAATCATGTTGATAAAATTATCCTTATTACCTTTTTTTAAACGTCTCATTTTTACATCTCTATCTAATTCTCTTAGAAATTTTTTATTCTAGGGTTTAATCATTTATAATTGTGTTTATCATTAATTACAATATGTGATAGACTTGTTGTTTTTTTATTTTTTTATTTGTTTTTAATATTAATGATTTATTATTAATATTATATAATGATTTGTGCAAAATATATCAACATTAAATTATCTTGAGTAGTAAAATTGTCTGTACATTTACTTTTCATACATGAAGGAGATGTATCTTTTACTAAAATTGCCGTTATTCTCTCTTCTTCTTTTATATTATAAAATACATTATATCTAAACTCACAAATAAGTCAACCATCGGAAGACCATTTCTATTGTTTGTGTGTTTTTATCTTTAATTTGTCAATTCTTATCAGATTACTTTACTGATTATTATTAACTGAATGATGAGAGAGTTATACTTTAACAAGTATACAAAATATATATATATATATAATACAACCTTGGAGAGTCTTAATGCAACAAAATATATATACCTATATATATATACAAAGAATGATTAAACTTTATCCACCATACAAAGTTACGATTAAGTAAAATTTCTTTAATATTTTTTTTTATATGTTTTTATGTACATAAAGAATAAATACTTCATATTACTTATAAAATGCATAAACACATAAAAGCTTTTCATTGAAGAAGAAAAATAATAAACTTATCAAAACGTGTTTTTCTCCAGAAAGATAATAATTACACGTTACGTGTAAAAAAAAAAGAAAACTTTTATATAGTCATATAAAACATGATCCCTACGATTCTCGTCTTCCTCTTCATCAAAACTCACATGTGAAACATGCGACATAACATATATACATTTTATGCGTGTTTGCATTTTATCGTTGCTTTTAGATTAAAAGAAAAAAACCAGAAAACTAAGCAATCTTTTTCTTGTGCTACGTGTGCAAAAGACTCTTCCATGCGATCATTTCATATGCGATGTGATATTGTATGTGTGTGTGTGTGTGTGTGAGTTTGTTAGCCGACTTGTATTCATGATGTGTTACACGTAAATACATATTTGTTCGTTTCATCAATAAAGAAAATTCTTATTAATTTTTATATTACTGATTTGTTTTTATGTGTACTTTTGAATGTTCTTATATAATAAGATCAGGTAAATCATAAGGCCCAGAGATCCATGTCTCCTTTTTCCACATATACATATGTGAGATGCACACATACACACATGCACCTTCAAAGTGGCGCACACAAGTGTACCAAATGATTTTAAACGTTCCCTCTTTTTTTTTTTTTTTTTTTTTTTTTTTAATAAAATTCAATTGATATTAAATTAAAAAGTTTTTTAAAAATCACTTGGTATATTTACATACGTTAAATTCAGTAAGTATCTTTATAAATTTCTCACGCATAAATCTTAAGTTATTGTTTGTAACAAATAAAGCACTCCTCAAACTTGATTCTTTTATTTCATTCATCAAATTATTCAGAATTAAAGAAGATTCGTGCTCCAGTAATATAATGCATTCATTGTACACTTATGAAATTCTTCCCGTAATTTAATACATTGTAACATTTTTTATGAAAAGGTATATAATATAGCATTTAAACATACTATATACAAGAATATAACGATATATATATATATATATATATATGCGATTAAAATCGCATTTAAGACATCCCTAAGAATACATATATATGTACAAACAAACATATGACATAGATATAGAATTAGTTGAAAAAATTACAATCAATCGATGTGTCTTATAAAATGAAAATGAATCGATGATAATAAGAAGAATATGTCATTGAAAATATTAAAGAGAATATTTATGAGGCCATTTCGGGATATAAAATATAACGAAGGACATTTACTTTCGTTGTTAATAGAATTTTTGGATAAAAAAACAAAAAAAACAAAAAAAAAAATATATATATATATATATATATATATATGAAGATGATTAGAAAAACTATTGATAAATAATCATTGTACGATCACAACGTGTATATAAAATGAATAGAAAATTATTCTTCAATTTAATCTATTAAAGTTCATTTAACTGTGGTATTTTCATAAAATGCCAAAATAGTAAAAACATTTATAAAAGTAAAATGCTATCAAGTCAGAATAAGATTTGTTTTGTAAATAAGTCAAGACGTGTCCAAAAATTGAAATCATTAGAATGTTTTACACAAGTCTTATTAAATTATTTTGAAGAATTCTGTTTACTCGTCCTATTACTTGTGATTTAATTATAACATTATAATAATATACCAAGTTTGCAGATATAGAAGATATACAGAGAGAAAGAGAATGTACACTGAGGATTATTTTGTTATTCAAAGCTACTTTCGTTAATAATAAAATAATATTATAATATTGTATTGATTGATATAATAATATAATGCAGACGCGATGATGACAACAACACCAGTGATATTTTTCATTAGATAATGTATGTAAAAAATGAAGAAGGATAATATTATACTTGTCAAATGTTAAACTTAATATAAATGATAATATATATAATACATGAAAAAAATCAATAATAATTGGTTGGTTAAATACATCCTTTGTTATGGCCAAAAATATTTCGAGATCCATATATAATACATAATAATATTTTTGTCAACGTATCGATTCATAATCATTTGGTGGTGATCTAAAAGTAATTCTACATTCTAAATCAAGTAATTACTAATATATATATGTACATAAATAGGAGTGTAAATGTTGCTTATTTTAGTCGTGTTAAAAATGAATCGTCAAAGAAAAGAATAAACACAAATAAGAGAAAATATATGAAAGTTATATGCATGGTTGTTCTGTAAGAACATCCGATTGCAAGCGTTCAACGCGATATCGATTATATTGTCTATATGGTGATCGCGTTTGATCATTATCTGTAAGAACACGCGTTCTATGAGGAATCAAATTTTCGTATCGTCCCATTAACCAATCTTGACACAGCCGATGTTGAACATCTGCGACATTTTTAGATGCCCATGATGACAGCCATTGATGAAATTTCGAATTCAAGTGTTTTGTCACTGCTGGATGACACTGTTGAGAAAATTCATATTATACATAATATATATATATATATATATATATATATAGATAGATAATAGATCCAATAGATCCAATAGATCCAAAGATCAATATTTATTTCAATCTTCTATACGTACCTCCCTAGCTCGACTAAATGAACTTTGCTTATAAAGAAAAGCTTCTTTACTAGCAACATAAAGCATCTGATAATTATTTGGATTGAAACGACATTGCGTTTCGTCAGCAGAGATCATTTCTGATGTATCACCACCAGTATCTGCTGTCAATCTCAAGCCCGATGGCCTTTTCAAAAGTGCTGCACTGACATTGTCAAGTGTTTTATCTTTGCTGGATGTTCTAAAATAAAAAGAAAATCAATGAAAATAAACTACTAAAAAGCTTTTAGATAAACTTCATTAGATAGGAAAAAAGAAAGAAAGGAAATGTGCGAAAATGTTCCAAGATGATATACTTACTCAGTAGTCACTTTATCTGAATGATTAGCAGTAGGCACAGATGCTCTCATCAATTGTGCAGCTTTCTTACGCCACTGTCTGACATTACGACATAAAAACACTGGTTTTCTTCCTACCAAAATCCTGTTTAAAGAACTCCAACCGTGTCCATCCATCTATAACAATTATTTGACATTACTATCTTTCAATAAATTGCTATTAGAAGAAAATAATGAAAATATATGACAACAACTTTTGACGATACTCAAAATAGATAGATTTGAAAAGAAATGTTTCTAAAAGAAAGAAGAATATTGCAAGAATATTGCAAGAATATTGCAAGAATATTCTTCATTTTATGAAGGAACCACAAATTTCCCTTTTCTCTATTTGAATAATTACTTAACACTAAGCATACCGATGGGTAGAATGACTTGTTGTCTTCAAGTTATGACTGTATGTATGTATGTATTTATAGCAAAAAATATACCATTTATATATGCAATAAGAATTCTTCACTCAGAAAACAAATTCTGCTAAAAAGCTTCAAAAAAAGTCATTTAAACTCGTCATGTGGTAGGTTTAGTGTTAAATTGAATATAAATAAGCAAATAAATATCTCGCATTTCATACATTACAAAGTGAAATATATAGTTAATGTAATGTCATATTTTTACATATTTCCTTTTCTTTGTCCATTTCTTTTTCTTTTTCTTTTTCTTTTTCTTTTTCTTTTTCTTTTTATGGTGATATGTACTAATTTATTCTTAGTCAATCTCCTCATATCGAATAACAATTAGTCTATATGCATTTCATGTATAGTAAACATTTGTTTCCCCAATATACCACCACCACCCCATATGGTGGTGGGTGGTATTATATGAAAATATATTATATGAACTTGTTCAAATTAATATACTATTTGAAAAGAAAATAATAAGTAAACTAATGACGTGCAACAACCAATCGCTCACCAAGGAGAGATAGACAAATGCATTTTTATTTTAAAATATATGCAATAGATATAGCAAAAGAAAATAATACTGTAATAATACTGTAATAATACTAAACTGCTGCTTATACCAAGTGAAATTATAAAGGAAAATGTAAATGCATTAAATGAATTTATACTATGGGGATGATCAGGAGTGTTTTCTTAATCAAAATAAAACTCGAAATTACATTTAAGAGAGAGAGAGAGAGAGAGAGAGAGAGAGAGAGAGAGAGAGAACATGCCTAAACAATTAACCAACCGACTGACATATATATGTAGCATTGTATTTTTTAAAATACCAGTAAGTATAACAAAAAGAGAAACATTAATACAATTTTGCTATAAATATTAGAGATTTACTAATAAGATTTTTTTTTTTTTTTTTGTACTATTTTCAAATTGAAATATGTTAGAAAAGAGATATATTACTCTCAACACATAATTTTCATCTGCATGAAATAGACAACAATGAATTAAAACTGTGTATAAGAAGATTTGAAATAAAATCAGATGAGAAGAAAAAACATGAGACTTAAAATTGACAATCATATTATATACAAAACATGTCGTCTAATATATGTCTATATATGTCATCTATATATGCATAGACAATAAGAAATGTAGGTTGTATATATTAAAGAATGTTGAGAATATAGTAGTATAAGCACAAAGTCCATACAAAAAACGAGTTCGGTGTCGTCATATATCAACGTAACAAATTTAGTGGTACAAAATGATGTTAGACAATAATGTTTAAAAGCACTGTTCATGTATTTCAATATCTCTCTTCTATACAATTATCGTTTCATCTATCATTATATGCATATTCATTTCATATACAGGTTACAGTTATAAAATATATATACATATATATGCCTTATATATAAAAAGTATATATATATATATATAAGTATATATATAAGTATATATATATATATATACTTTTTTTTTATAGAGTTTAAAATTTACTGCAGTTGTATGAAAACATAGATATGAGCTTACAACGATCACATAAACTTTTGTTGTCTGTATACGTTTTACATGAAAATTTCAATGAAATTATATTACAAATGTTACAGTGGTATTATTATACGCACTGTTGCCTATGAGAATAATTACATATGCGAAATTATGAATTTGTGCTATCGAATTTACTAAAGTATTATTAAATCACTAAGAAAATAGAAGATATTAACGTTTTTGTTAAATTCATTAATTTAACATATCAAGATATAAAGATATATATATAGCTTTGAGAAAATGTTGTTTTGTTGCAATGTCATGTTAGAATGCACATTTACATTTTGTTCATCACGTAGAAGACAATGCTGCTACTAATACTTTCTCTATGATCCATTTTTCCAGGTTAATTATTTGTTCTATTCCATATCATAAACTAAAACTTTCATATCGATTTGTTGTTGTTGTTGTTGTTGTTGTTGCTAAAGTTGACTATTTTCAGCAAACAATGTTATACGCCAATGTTCTTGATATTTTTTACTAAATAAATATTGGAATATAACAGCTAGTCTAAAGTTATCTTAACATACATACTTCGAAGATAATTGGAGTAAAAAAGTTCGTTTAATCATAGATTTAAAAGCACATTTTTCAATGCCGAAAAATCTTATTTTTCAGATTTAAAATGCAAAAATAGAATAAGATTAAAATCCGAAGGAGAAGAATAACAAAATGATTATTATCACTGGAATTAATTGATTTTCCACTTGGAAATTCTACTTAGAATGAAGAACAATGACTAAATTAACTATGTAAGGAAGTGAAGCCTTTGGTAAACTGTCCGATAATGATGTGATATGTCTGCACTGTCTTGCATTTTGTCACCATAATTAATAATGTAGAACCAGTAAGAAGCATGTAAGCAACTTTCCGCAACTTTCCGCAACTTTCTGCAACTTAACAGCAACTATATATGTTACAGCACGTATGAGATCTGTGCTGTACTAATTACACATTTTACTGTGTACACACCTATTCAATGAAAGTACAATGGTTAAGTTTACACACACACTTTGGTTCATGCCACACAATTGCATGTATATTTATTTAAAATTTATGCCCAGATAATAAGATTTATGCAAGCATACTCATTCCAGTTTTTATACGGATAGCCTTCGTTCGCCCGCGATGATATCTATCTCTATCTCTCTCTCTCTCTCTCTCTCTCTCTCTCTCTTTCATCAATAATAATCTCGTTGAATTTGATTTACACAACGGCGGTGTTACATTTGATGGAACGAACATGCTCACACTAACGTACCATCGTACCATTTTTGCTTGTGTATATAAATAATCAAACTTTCATAAATATTACTTGAAATAGTATTTTTCTAATTTTTCTAATGTAAAAATGATATCACTTTTATATCAAAGTAAAACATAAGTTAGCAAAGTATTTGTTTGAATACTAAATGTATTGTTATAATAATTGATTGCAAAAGAAAGTATTTAAAATGTTAAGTATAAATGGCATATGGGAACATACACATGCATGGCATAATACAATGTGATGAAAGTGATATATTTCAAAGTCCAATTATGTTCATATATCTGTTTCCAAAGGCTCCACTATAAAATCGTGATATGAAAAAATCGTGATAATGAAAAAATGGTCTTACAAATAAGAGATGCATTATCAAATGACCTAAACTGCATATCAAAAACATATGTACAAATTCATGTGATAAAATATTTACATTTTTTAGAGCACAAAGTAATGTTCATAACTTCTAATATTATCTTATATGTATATACACATATGCATATATACATGCACCTACATATGCATATATATATGCAGTGTCATAAGAAGAAAATAATAAAAGAAACTTTAAGAATCGACTGTAGCAAATAATAATATTATATGAAACTTTGTATGTATATATACATATACATATACATATATATATATATATATACATATACATATATATATATATATACATATATATATATATATATATATCAGTATAATTGTATGTATATATATATATATATATATATATATATATATATCAGTATAATTTACACTCATTATGGCACTGCTCAAATAATGTTAATTTGTATGTTATATGCATACAACACCCTCTAATGACGCACACAAACGCGTTTTTTAATAATTAAATACTGCTACTTTTGAACCCATAATTAATCAACCTTCTAACCGTAATTCGTTTTGAAATGATCGTGTGAAGGGCAATATCAACGATGAGCGACGATCGATACGATGACAGTATACGATGACAGTATACGATGACAGTATACAATGATGATACATGATGATACATTATTATATACACGAAACTTTGTCCCTATTCATTTCGTTGAGTCTATTTTGATATTATTTTAGACGATTTCACTAAATTTCATGTGTCAACATGGCAATATATACCATGACGATATAACAATGTCCACAGAAGATATTGACAAGACTATTTGTCATACCATTTTTTCCCTGTTTTTCTTCAAAATAGAAGATTTAACGAATATTCTACTTTCTTTACAGATTAATTATAAGTACTATTATGCAGCTATCACAATTATAATTATGAAGTAATAATAAAAAGCAAGCTCGAGAAAGCTCATAAATTATAACATTATATAAATGTGTTGTTTTTCTTTTCTTTTATATATATATATATA